GTTTGTAGAAGCAAAGATGGACAGCAAATGCAATAAGACAGGTATGGAGTGGCACAGGTACGCCAGCACCCTGGGGGCCAAATGTGTCAGCTTTCCCTCTTGGTTAATTTGTCCCATTACATGCAGTGTAGGAGTAAGTTTCTATGAGGTGATTGGGTTCAGCTGCCTTTTCTGTCCAGCGCAGGGTATTTGCAGGCGACATAGTCTGTTTTGATTTCCTGAAAACTGCTGCATAGGTAATGCATTTCTTTGCTTTATCAATTAAAAAACGTAGTTTTAGTATACCACCTAGCCAATTACTGAAGTAGTTGTGTCATTGTGACAACAAGAAAGCTTGTTTTAGCAGACTTTCTTACATATTTTATTTTCATTTCTACAAAAACATTTATGTCCTTTGTGCCTGGCATCTGAGTGAACTTAGTAAAGGGACAAAAAGACTATCAGATTGCAAGGCTGTTGCTTTGGAGTTTAGAAGGGTGTAATTTTAGCAAAAACCTGAAGCGGTTTTTACTTGCAGCTTCCCTCATCCTCAACTGTTGGACTTCTTTTAAAATTGCCTTTAAACTTTGCTATTTTGATTTTTTTATTATTATTATTACTGGTTTTATTTTAGCAATATGAATTGTTTGTGTTCCAAACAGAAAAAAACCTGTTCAGGTAGGTTTCATCTGAAAAGGATCAACCACAATTCCTCAAACTGAAACTGGTGTGTGCTTTGATGACTTTGGGAGTCTAGTCAACTGTTACATTCACTCTTACTACATAGTCATGATCAATACAGCTTTTGAGTTACCTTCCTGATTTAGATAGGATGATCTACAGCATTCTCAGCTGCTGGATATTTAGTATTTTGTACTTTTCTAGTACAAAGAGAACAAAAGCATAAATTCTTTTGATTCTTAACCATGTGTTTCAATGTGTCTCTGCTAAATTGGGTATGCCCCAGTCTCAGCACACCTGGCTGGTTGTCCTGGTGGCACTGTTGTAGCACCAGCCACTAGAGTAAACCCCAGGGAGGGCCTCCATAAAAGTTGACTTAATGCATCTGTTCAGTTGTTGTAGTCAAGGTGAAATTTCATGGTGGAACTTTCCTGACTCACTGTGAGCTGAAGAAACCTATCAAAAATGATGATGGCAATCAGTATGCCAGCTTTTTCATCCACTTCTTTGTGGCTACTGGCAAAATACTAGGGAGTGGCTATTTTGAAATTGCTGGTAGCTGGTAGTTGTTTGAGACTGAGCATCTGGTCACTTGTAGGTTTAAATGTTTATAGAGTCCCCTGGCAGATGGCAAATATGGAATGTGGTAATACCAAGTGCTTTCCTAGCACTCATCACCAAACATTTCAAAGGATCACACCAAATGTGTATTGATTCAGTTTCTTTTACCAGTAGATTAAGTTGCAGCAAGGGTGTTTGCCCAAGTACACGCAAGGTTCATGCTGGTTCTACCAGCACTGCCTATCCTTCCTCCCAAGCTGTGGCTTGAACAACCCTACCATTCTTGGCCTTAATACAAAGAGAAATATTAAACTGACTAGTTAGGAAACTCTTTCAGAAAAATTCTTAGTAGCAGAGTGTCTGGTTGTATAACCTTAGAAGCATGAGATGCCAGCCATGTTTTTGTTTGATGGATCCCACAGAGAGAAGCACTGAGCAGTTCTGGAGTTGTGAAGGGTAATGCAAATCCATTCTCACTGGTGTGAGCACAACAGTTACCTCCTGGAAATATGACTCTAAAAAGCCTCAAAAAGTGTGGAGGAACACATGTGACTGTGTCCGTGTAGGCTGGGAGTTGTGTGTGGCTGATGCACAGAGGTAGGTTGCAGAACTGGACTAATCTCTGCAGTTCTGCTTCCAGCCACATTACTGCCCCGTGCTGCAAACAGGCATGAAGCTCATTTTTCCCATGAGATGCCTTGACCTCCCTGTGCCATTACCATTCCACACCTTTTGGAAATCAGTCCAGGACAGTTACAAAGGCAACTCTTTCAGCTTGCAATTGTTAAATGTATTGCCCTTGAGAGGCACATGCTGGCCTTTTTCATGACAGCTTAGCGCTGAAATTACTTAGCTCATTTGAGCTTTGCACTTGCTGTAACTCAGGTTGTCCATGTGTCTAATAAAAAGAAAAATACTTACCTAATGTCTGTAAATTACTTTGATATTTAGGCTGAAGGTGCTGGAAAAAAATGCAAGATTGGTAAGAGAGGGCATTTCAAAGGCACTAATAGAAGTTGGATAGCTAACTCCCCTTTGTGCTTTGTGAACTGTGTTCTGTAAATACTACTAATTCTGTACACACATTACTGTGGACATCCAAGGTGTATGGAAAAAGTAAGCATTTCCATATCTTCAGGTTTTGACTGTCCTGTTCCTAAGAATACTAGGAAAAAATTAATGAAATGTATCTGTTTATAACAGTAAATCTCAGTGAAACTGTCATGGTATAAATCAAGTTATGGTATGCCTTTAGGAGGTTGATCAGTAAAGGCAGGTACTGGAAGCATAATATCTTAATTTGATCCAGTGCCTCCTGGGTGTTGAGGGAAGTGCACAGATTCTAGATTTAATTTCATTTTTTGTTTTCACTTTTCACCTGCTTTTGGCCCTTTGAAGCCAATTAGCCTTTGTCTTTGAAGCGATGATTCATTATTTCTGTGAGCATAAAATGGACCGAATACAGGACTGTATCCTGCAATCTTCAGGAGGGAGGAAAAGGACTTAGGTCTCCCACCTATCCTCTAGTACCTGTTTGCAGAGGCAAGTGTTTCAGAAGTATTTCAGAAGCGTTCCTGTTTTTATAAATATCTCAATAAACAAAAAGGGGCAGTGTGGTTCGATTATCAGAACTGTGGATTGCAGCAGAAAATGCTGGGAAGTGCCTCGTTTCGTTGCAGTCCGCTGGTGCTGTCCTCTGGGGTGAGAAGTGCAAATGAACAGTGAGACTGCAGAACAGGCACAGAGAGCTGCACCTTGTGGGAATGGGAAGCATAGAGGCAGCTGTTTTGGGTCGGGGAAGGAATTACATAAGCAGAAAACAGAATAATGTTTTGTAGCTCCACAAGTTTGTCTTTCATTGTGTCACAATGAACTTCCATGTTTGTTACCTACAAAAAGCTGAATTCATATAATCTAATGGATTGCTGTCGCCTGGACAGTGATAAATAGAAAGAAATTGAGTTTATGGAAGACAGGATCATAAGATTGAACAATTTCTGGTTAAAAAGTACTGAGCTAAAAGCCACAGAGATTGTCCTTGCAGAAATAACATCACGATGGTGGAGTGAAACAGGCCTGTCTTCACTCCATCTAAACCCAGAATAGTTATAATGGTTTGCTCACCATATGTTGTCAGTGTTCTCTGCCATGTGGCTATAGTGTATAGAGGTGGAACCCCTGATGTTGAGGCTAAACTTCTGGTTCTGCCTGAGCCCTGAGCAGTAAGCAGCTAGCAGCACCTTGCAGAAGAATGAACTGGGCTTGCTTTGAAGTGGTGGCTGAAAAATGCAAGACTTTCTAGGTGCTCCATGTTACATTTAGTTTTAGACATGTCACCTAATCTGCCTCAAAGGGTTTTTTTACAAGCCTTCCTGTCCTTTTGGGGGTAAGGGTGCTAACATTATGTTCTGCAGGTGCCTCTATCAGCTTCAGTCTATTTCCCTGTCTCATTACTGTGATGATGTTGTGGTTTGTCATGGAAATAGTTACCTTCTCTTGGACCAGCACCAAATTTGTCTTTTCCATTTGCCAGAGATTGAGGTCAGGGTAAGGAGCTGCACTTGTACTGTCCTGCAAGTCCTCAGAAATTAAGGTTACTCCTCCTGCTTCTGTGCATGCAGAGATGTAAATCCATACCGTTTGCACTGCTGTTCTTAAATTTCAGTAGCATGGTTTTGGAGAATAGCATGAATTGCCTTTCAGGAATCATATGGTTTTTTTTTTTTTATGTTCCTGTAAAATTGTGGCTATATTTATTTACAAAGGGTATAATTTGTGCTGTGATTGGAGTACAGGCTTAAAATATGGAAGAATTTTCCCATCAGATCTCATGAAGTTTCGGTCTAGATTTCTTGACAGGCGTTTTTGTAAATAAAAACCTGTGATAGTTATGAAACTAATGCAACATTCACAAATTGCCTTTTGACTCTATTTGACCCTGAGATTACTTCAGTTGGTTAAATCTTGATGATAATAATGCCAAGGTCACGGGTTGAATCCCCTGTATGGGCCATTCACTTAAGAGTTGGACTTAATAATCCCTTCCAAATCAGAATATTCTGTGATATATGCTTCTGTGGGTGTCCTTGCATAGCTGCTTTCTGTATGCCAACTTACTTATTTGGTTGCAAGTTAAATTACTTCAAAGAAGATAACAGTAACCAGGTTAGGCAAAAACAGAAGTATTACATTACTTGATGGTAAATAGAGTAGTTTGTAGTGATATATTTTTCTGCAGCAAAGACAAAAGTAATTTATTAATGTCTTTAAAATGCTAGGAAGGAGTAGTGTTAAATGTGTAACAAACTTGTTCAGATCATAACTGATTTGTTAGTGTAGTGGTTTTGGCACTTCAGTGGGACTCATGGTTGTATCATGGAGTTGCTGTCAGATTTTCACTGACATAAAACCTTCGGAGTCTCCCCACTTATGTGTCACTTCCCTTTCCTCCCTTGGCAAATTTCTGAAAAGTATCTTGGAAATTTTATGGACCTTTTGAAAATTAGACCCATCGCCCTAAAAGCTGTTTGGCCTCTGGCTGCAGCACGGGGCAGCACTTAGCCTGTGCAGTGCTTGCCCGCAAAGCGTGCTGTGCTCTGTGGTTCCCTGGGCAGCCAGGTGCATCACTAGTGCTGCTCACCATCACCACGCGCACACACACACTCACACTCTTCCTTCCTTCCACCTACTTCTCCCTCCTCTACCTTGGTTTCACACCTCCATTCCAAAGTTCACATTGTCCTCTCTCTCTCCCTCCCCCCCCATTTTCTTTTTAACAGCAGGAAAGAATTTCGTACACACCTCCAGCGAGCCCGGTACCGACTTACACTTCGTCACCACTACATGTCCCAGTGCCTCAAGCGATCAGGATGGATGAGGACGCGATCAGACTGCCAGCACACCTGCGTGAGTGTCAGCACAGAGGCGTCTTCAGTTCTTGGACTGAGGAGGGGGCAGGGCGGGGTGAGGAGTTATCACTGGTTTTATGGAAGAGAGCAAGGAAGTCCCTGGCTTTATACTTATTTTTTTTTTCTTTTTAAGATCTAGCTGGTTTGGTTTTCCTAGCTACTGTTTTTAGCTAAAGGAAATTAGTCTTAAATACAGTATGTTGTATCTCCCCCTCCCATCCCCTTGCCAAACAGTTGGGCTGTCATTTCTCATGACAGGCACGAGTATGGAGGGTTTATTTTGACAGGAAGTCCTATGTTTCTTCCACTTCAGAGGAATTGCTTGGTTATGTGCTGTGACACAAGGTTGATTTCACAATCTGTGGCGAGTGGAATGTATTTGTGCTGTGGGTATTTTTCAGGTTGCTAATGTTCTCAAATACTCATGGTGCCCAGGCTCTTTGGTATAGAGCATGAGGGCTAACAGAGGCAGTGGGAAAGGAGGAAGAATGAGCTTAGCTGAGCACAAAAGGATGCTGCAAAGGAAGGACATATCACTGACATTGAAACAAAAACTGGAGCTGGGGGCAAGGTGAGAGCCAGGTACTTCTTGCTGAGATGATTTCATGTTTGAGAAGTAGGAAAGGCCAAGGACTGTTGGCAAGCGAGAAGTGAATTAGGGAGATAGGATGAGGACAAGAAGAGTGGAATTTTCTTATTTGGAGAAGAAGCAGTTCTAATGGAAATAGAAATGTTTTAAGTAAACTTTTTTCAGGTGTTGCGTTCCTGGGTTACTTGAGCAACAGTGAGCAAGAGGGCCAGGAGCAAGCAAAACTTTGTGTTTTGCCAACTGAGAAATGGATTTGGGATTTCAGGGGGGCAGGGGAGTAAAGTCCATGTTTATCACAAGACATTCTCACTGCTGTCCTCAACTGTCACACACACACACACACACTCCTTTTCTGTATGAAGACTGTTTCAAGTGTTTTTGTAGTCTGTGCTCACTCCTTTGCTGGCCACTGAGTTGCTCTGCCCCGAGGTCATTCGTTGCCTGTGCAGCATTCTGCATGGTCTTGCATAGCCTGGGTTATACCTTTTCTCTGCTTTCTGACAGGAGTGGGATCTGGCACTGTGGACATTTCTGACCCTGTCTGGTCACTGCCTGAGTATCCATGAGCTCCCAGGCCCGGTTTGGCTGGCACATACGTGTGGCTGCTGATCTGTTCCTCTAGGCCAGGGAGGACTTAATGCCACATTCACAGAGCATTTCTGTGCTTTGCCCAAAACTTAAACACAAAAAAAACCCCAACACAGAAACAGTTCTCCAGCTGTTCTTTTCCCCACAGGTGCTGTTAATTCCCAGGTCTATTCCTCATTGCATTAATTGTTACTGCTTACTTCTGCTGTGGGAGCTACTGTCTGTCCCCTCCACAGCTATGGTCACGGCTGGCTTTACAGTTACTTATTGCACTCCCTGCTGTGTCTGGAAGATGCATAAGGCAGGAAGACAGAGACCCTTGATACTGAAAGTGGTGGCTGTTTTACCTACTTCCTTCATGTCAGCTAGCCAGCATGCTAGATAATGTAGAGCTTATAAGGCTTCCTCTCAGTGAAGACTTTTTATCCAGTATTTTTAGGTGTGATATTTTTTCACCTTGATCTTTGTTTTAGTTTTCCTGTTCTTTTGGTTGGCACATTTTTAATGCGAAAGAAGCCTTGCAAGTTTAGTGTTTCCACACCAGTCTGACTTGTTGCAGTGTAAAAGCACAGATGATTAATCATGAAATATCTGTGAAATAGCCTTCTATATAGTTAGTGTCTGAGATCATAAACAGCATGGAACACATTTACATAGCCTTACTAGTTGTAGTCTGTGGCAGTGTAGTATTTTGTAGCTCACTATGCAGTTTATATTGACACAAAACACTGTCATCAACCAGCAGAGCCAAACACTGTTAAAAACACTGTTTTTAAAGTACATAGTTTCATAGCTAGACCACGAGCGACCATTCTGAATTCCTTAAATGATCTCTGGTATAACTTCAGTTACAGAACTTCATGCAGTAAGTGCTGTGTTTGGGTCCCGTAACTGAGCTACAACAGGTGCAGAAAGATTTCTGTTCTTTATGTAAAAGACTTAAATGATGGGGAGGATATAAGGTCTCTAGATGTTCTTTCAATGCTTAATTATCCTCCTTATTTGCTTTTTTTAAGTGCCCTATTTATAGTTTGAATTAGTCAAGCTTCAGTTTCCAACTATTAGATCTCATTATCTCCTTTCCTGCTAAATATTATCAAAAGACTACTCCTGATATAGGTGCTTTTAGATAGTCACTTCTTAACCTTTTCTCAGCTAAACTGGATAGGAAGAGAGGTTTTTAAAGCTGTCAATCTTCCTGTTAAGCTTCCAGATTTTAAATTCTGTTTGTATCATCTCTGTGAACTGTTTCCCACTTCAGACATCCTTCTTAAAGTGAAGACAACAGCACTGAGGATGATATTCCAGGAGTAGTGTTCCTGATACTGTGTATAGAAATAATTCAGCACCTTTTGGATTCCGAGTAATGAGGTTTAGGAGGTATTAGTATGGGATTTTTCAGTTCCTGCATGGACTCCTCTCTTTTATTTTTTGTCTGTTTGTTTATTTTAGAGATGCATCTGAGTCACGGTTTTCATCCTAAATCCAAACTACCTCAGAAGTAAGGCAAGGTTGTAATTTTCTAGTTCAGGTTATGGTACTGTGTGGAGATTGGGTTTCGACCCACAAAGTCTGAGGGTTTTCTAGGTCTGAGATTTTGTTTGGTTCCAGCCTTACCACTGTTTTTGTCGATTAGCTGAAATATAATAACTTCTTCGAACCCTCACTAATTCCAGTGCAACAGAGAGATACGGTGAGTTTCTCTGTTCATACACAGAGCTGATAGCTTGTCAGGCCTCTACTCCTTCTGTTTCCGTGATGTTCTGTTGGCATTTACCAAAATAAAGGCAGAGTTCAGTCCTAACCCATACATCTTCACTTAGCTATGCTACAGATGCAGCTGAAAACAACAGTTAGCCCAAGTGAAGAGAGAACTAGAGACAAACATTTCAGCTGGAACATGAAGTACACCCTGTGGATTCAGGCAGTGTTTTGTGCCTTCCTATTAGAAATTTCACTATTTCTGATGTTTAAAAGCACTCTGAAACTGCTAACAGGAATAGTATGAGGATAATTAGTAGAAAAATTTCCTATTGTGCAATAAATTATTTCTCACTGTTTGGTGAGCAAATGAGTCTCAGCTATGCTGAGCTGACTTAATCCAGAGACTGGAAAACGGAGAAGTGCAAAATTTAGAAGAGTAGAATGCAGATCCCTCTTTGCTACAGTCTTGCATAGGAGGACTCCTCTTTGGCCAGCACAGCTAGATTATGTAGACAAACACCTTTTTCTGGGGGTGATATAAAGGCACCCTTTTCCTTCTCACACAACCTTTCTTGTTTTAAGAAGCTGCTTTCTCCCCAGTCAGCCCTGTTCCTGTAGTATAGAAGTACAGTGTAAGTAGTCCTAACTTTAAATCTCTGGGATAGTAAAGGATAATTTTCTGATAAAACATACCTTTCTCTCATGCTGCACTTCTCTGTAAGGGACTGTTACCCCTACTTTTAAACATACTTGTTTGTCTATATCATCCACCTATTACCTAGGAACAGAGTATTGGGGGCATTGTAAACAAAGGATCAGCGGGGAGCTGGAGAATGTACTTTCCTACATTTTAAGTATGTAGTCAAAAAACAGTTGCTCTTTGGCCCTGGTGGGTATGCTGTGGTAGTTTTGCAGCATATCTGATCTCCGCTAGACTAATGTCAGACCGAAGGAGTGTTTGGAAAATGGAGATTTTTACTGAAGATTGAAGAGAAGCAAGTTTGGCTCTCACACGAGACTCTGCCCTTGGTGCCTTCTGTGACCTTGGACATCTTGTTTTAGTTTCCCCACTGTAAAATTAAAAAAAGTCATGAGTGCAAAGACTCTTAACTGCCCAGATATTGTGATAATGAAGAATGCTAAGATAGGTGGAAGTCCTCTGAAACTATCTGCATACCCCTTATCTCTGAGGACACACTTAATATTGCCACAGAGAGAGTTAGTGGGTTTTTTTGATGGGGTCTGTATTTTTTTTATTCTATTTTTATTAAAGCAAATCTCTTTGTCTCATCTGGTAAATTGCCATTAGTTGCTTATTTTATGCCATAGCCGATACCTTGTAGTAAAAAGTCCTTGGAACTCCATAGAGGATACAGCATTTAAGAGATTTATATGAGAACCCTTCCCTGTGTCTATTAATACTCTCTGAATCAGAGAGAAAATAGGTTTTTCCTTTTTCGTAATACACAAGATTAAAATAAGATGGGTTGCCTTCTATAACAGCAACAGTATATATGTGCTAGAGGCTTCATGGTTTTATTTTGTCGCCTTCAACAAAAAACTTCAACAAGAGATACAGAAGAAATATCAGTGCTAAGAAAGGACATGTTGCACGCTCTGATCCTGTGCAAAGCATTCCCCCTTGCACATGTACGTTGATTTGTATGTTTGATTTTTATCTCTGAAGGGCATGTTATCTTGGGAACACGTGTGTGTTTGTTTAGGGAGGTGGATCTTATGGGCAGAGATTTCAGAGTTTTCTCTTGATACAAACGTGAGCATGAGTTAATTTCTTCCTCTGAACTAATTACTCTTCTCTCTTTAGGGTTGGCATCTTTTGTATGTCTGCCGCCCATTGTCATAATAAGACACACTGCACATAATTTTCTGTACAGATGAAGCAATTTTTCTTGACAGCAACTGATTTTTCTTGCTATTGCCTTTTTTCTGAACCCCGCCAACAGTCTGCACTGATGTTCAGAGTGAGATGATACAACTCAACATGCCACAGAACATGCATCACCTCATAGGGGAGAACTTTTACATTGGAACTGCAGTGTTGTCGTCTTGACTGCATTTGCTTTTGGGGTGTCGTGGTGGTAGGGAAAGCTAAAGAC